AGTAAAAAAACAAGCCCGATCATATCGCATAATATTTAAAGTTTTCTTTATAGAAATTTTTTCCCCTGGTTTTTTTTTAAAATCGTATATCTTTCACCTCCACCATTTTAATAAATTTATTTTAAAACCTGGGACAGACCTGTAGGTCTAGGCGCGTGCGTCATTAAATTTTTCAGCTGGCCGGGGCTAAATGTGTTTTCCGAATTCAATTCAATTTTTTATAAATCAACCTAACCCTTTAACTAAAATTAAAGAACAAACCTGCTTAGGCTGGTTATTTAAAAAACAAAAATAAAAACTACCAATCGTTGCATATATAGCGTATTATAATAAATTTTAAAAAATTTAATTTGCAAAATGACCTTTAGAAATAAAAAAATTATTTAAAAAAATATAATTTCTATCTTTTTTTTAACCAAATTCCTGTTTTATATAATGTGGCTCAAATAAACAAAACAAAAATATTTTTAGTTTTGAAAAAAAATAAAATAAAACCAGATATTATTCTTGATTTATACAATTTTCTTTGCTTTTTGCTCTATATAAATTTTTGATAATAGAAAAGAACGTTTGAATTTTTAAATAGTCGGTTCACACCGATATAAGCCTTTAATATTTTATATCCATCTTTTTCGAGATTCGGGTTTAGGAATTTACAATGCCCTCCAGCAAAAGATAAAAATAAATAATTATTTTTACTTCTAATAAAATTATTCTTTATTAAAAAAAAGAAACATAACGGCCCAATTAAGATTTTAGCCAAAATAATATGTCAAGATTTGGCAAATATATGTCCAAACCTTTCTGCCATCTCTATGTTAAAAAATCTCCAGGCTCACGTAATATAATATTAGCTAAGATCTTAGTAGGCCGTTTAACAATACTAATTTAAGAAGAGTTTGATAAAAGAAAATCTATAGCGATTTTTGTTTAAATTTTACTTAAAGTGCCAAAATATTTTATAATTTTCATGCATAAAAAAATTCCTCCAAGAGGTTATTTTTTGAAAATTTTTGCAAACTCTGTTTAAGAATAAATATCAAAGACCGAAAAAACCATATCGAAACCCGGCTAAGATTTTAAGGAAAAATGGACTTGAATTTTAAACCACCTTCCCCCCCCCCCGGTTCGAGTGTAAAAATTCAACCTAAAACACCGAGATTTTTAAAATCCAAGGCCTTGAGTAACCAAATATTTTTTTAAAAAACCCAGGGGAGGGGGTGGATATAATATAAATCTAAGCTGGGCTTAAAAAAATCTGATATCTTTTGCTATAAGTATTATAAAATCCAAAATAAATTTCTCTAAATATATATGTATCAAAGGTTGTTGTGAAATTAGTGTTGTTAAATAACCTATCTTCGATCTAACTCCAAAACGGCCTTGACAAGTTTTTATCTTAAAAATTTCATTCTAATCCTTAAGCCCAGGCAGAACTTAGAGCTAGGTTCAATTTTTTTAAGCTAAAAGTTGTTTAAGCCATATAGAAGTTGGCCATTGTGCGATACCAGTTGTAATTTTGCTCAGGCCAAAGTATAAGTTGCTTGAAATACATAATATTAAATATTATATAAGGAGGATAGAGAAAGAAAGAACAAAATCATTTATAGGTTAAATAAACTTGAAAGAAAATGAAATATTATATCATAATAATTATAAATTTAATAATTTAAATAATACAGGGAAAGGGAGGCATTTACAACGTATATCTATGACAATTTAAATTTTGTAAAAAAAAAATGTTCATTTCCATGTAAAATTTTTTTATAAAAGTTATAAAAAGAGGAAACCTATAATAAAATATGTAAAATATATTTTAAAACGATTCAATTTAAAATTTATAAATGTACATTATTTATATCTCAGATAGGTTAAAAGTATTTTATTTTATTTTTTCCCCATTCTATGATGAATAATTTATAATCTTATATTATAAAAAGCGCTAGGTGTTTTTGCTTTGTATAAATAATATCAATATAAAGAATGCGCGCATATAGTGCCAATCGTGATGTTTTTTTTGTTCCTTCATTCTTCAAATAGCACTTAAAAAAACAATAAAAACTTATAAGAGCGCGAAAAAAAACAATTTTAATAACTACAGTTACATTAATTATATAATTCAAATTTATTCCTTAAATCGGAGTTAGAATTTCTTCATAATTTAAGGGCTTGTTTGTTAACAATGTTTTTTAATAAAATTAGTCTCATCCGAGTTGTTAAAAGTTACTTTTCCAATACATCCAGATATCGATAGGCTTTAAAAAATTGGGTAAAACAGACCTCCGCATAATGTCCATATTGGGAATCTATAGCTAAAATTTCAAACTTAAGATTGAGTCATTATTGTAAGTTCACAATGATACAATTGATATTAAATTTTAGAAGATTCTACTAACGAATGTTTATTAGCAAATTACATTTTTTTGGATGGAATTTGTGTTTTAAAATAAACCTAATAAACAAGGGAATCTCAATGATTGGAAATGGCTCAAGTCTTCCGCTTGTAATAAAATAAATCATTGAATCTATATACAAGTGTAAACTGTATTTTTTTTGAAGAAAACATTATTTTGCCATATAAAAAAAACATATTTTTTCCCCGAACCCATACTGAGCTCTAAGGATTTCAAGACACCGGACGCATATTTTTCTTCTACTAGGGTTCGTGAAATTAAATGTTTTGCAAGATTTTCATAAAATTAAATATGTCAGATGGTTATTAGTTAAATAAATATTAATTATAAATTTTTTTCTTCTTGGTATTATCTAAACTAAGGCATCAGGATAAAAAAAGAGCTTGATAAGGTATAGAGTTAATAAATATAGAGATGGATTAGAGTTTTAGATTATAATAATATTAAAATTAAATTATTTCTTTAAATAAAAAAAAAATTGTTTAGATAACTTTTTTCGGCCATCATATTTGTGGTTATTCATTATAGGTAATATTTACCAGAAGTTTATTGGCGTAAATGTTTTCACAATAACGCCTTCGCGGAAATTGCATTCTGAAAAAAATTATTCAAACTGTAACCAACCCCGGAAAGGCCTCAATCTGTCTTTTTTTAATTTCTACTTGAGCTAAAAGATTTATAATCTCAGAATCGTGGTTTAATGTACAAATTTTTATCTCTAAACTTTAAGGCTATACTTTTTTAATTGACCAAAGCTCTTTTCTTACCTGTCAAAATAATTCCGGTATGCTATCAAAGCTATCATCCACCCAAACCAAATTACCATATATTCCTTTCCCCATTTAACTATGTCTATCATCCTTGTTGACTTTAACTCGTTAAATCTTCTCTTATCAAATTCTGCCATAATTCGGGGAGTCGGGAAGATTTTTCCTTTTGAAATTTTGCATATTACGGCTAAAATTACTTTAAAAAAGTGGCAGAATAATAATTTTAAGTTTATTATCATATTAATTTATAGAATTATAATAAGACCCGTCCTAAGGAGAACGGGGGTGAAATATGAGAGGTCCTTCTTCGCATAAGCTAGCAGAATTTTTTGTTATTAATATTTGCTTAAATTTTTTAAAATCTTTTCCTTTTAAATCTCATATTAAGAACATATTGCAGAGACCCTGCATTAGCAAAAATTATAGGCCTAACCCGGTGTAACGAGTGAAAATGATCTATGAGATTTCAAAATTTCATACCATCAAAATCTCATGTATGGGTTGTGTTTTGATATAAATGCCTTACAATGTTTTTAAAGCAATAAATCGAAAGTAAAAATTTTCATGATATGAATTTAAAATTATTAACATTATAATATAGACATTAATGGTATAAAACCTAACTGAATCTATATTTTAGAATAATATTTTAATAATGCTTTGCAAGAGATATATTGTTTCATTTCAAAAGCTCATCTTTATATTTTTAGATTATTTCGTTTTATTTTCATATTAATATCTTATATATTTATTTTCATTAAAGTTTTGAAAGTCTGTGAATTTAATTGATATTTTGGACACAATCTAAACAAAAAAATAAATAAAGAATATTTTAACTTAATTTTGAAAACGTTTAACCATAATAGAAATGAATCAATAAATAAATATTAAAAAAATTTATATATAAAATTTTTGCCTTAAAGGTAAAAAAATTAAATAATTTATGAAAATAAGAAGAAGAAAACATAAGACCCATTTTTATAATAAATTTGGTTCAAGGAAAAAACTTGCCTTAGAGTTTATTTTAAATAATTCAAAAATTATTATCTTTTTTCTCATATGCAAATAAAAATATATTTTCAAATATAACAAGTTAATAAATAATAAAAATAATTTTTTTTAATTTAATAGTTAAAATTGAATTAAAAGTAAAAAATTTAATAAACAAAACCAAAATTTATGAATAAATTGAAAAGGCACAGTAAGAGGTGTTAATAGTTCTAGTAAATAAAATGAGAATAGAAATTATATGTCACTTTGATTAATTATTTGTTTAAGATTATTCAATATCATAACATAAAATATTGTCTATTCAAATTTGCATTTTTTTTGAAGGTCACATAAAAATTTATTTATCAATATTGATATAAAATTATATAGGACTGGTTAACACTACTACCTAATCCAAAATCTGTTATATATAGTGTTTAATGAAAAAAATGAAAAGATAATATTCATCAATATTTTTATTTTTTATCATTTAAAATGAATAATATATGAAATTTTCAAAAATAAAATAAATTAAAAATAAGAAAATTTTTTTTTTATCTTATCAGTTTGAAGAATTGGTAGTAATTTTTTTTATCAATTTATTGTATACTAAGAAAACCTAATTTTTGAGGGCTAATTACAAATTTGGGTGTTACTGATATCAGCTAAAATTGAATAATTTGAAAAAAAAGTTTCTTATGCATAAAAATCACAAAAGATTTGGAATTTTAAGTAAAATTTGAAAAAAATGCTGATCAAAAAAACATTTTCTAACTCATCTTATGAAGCTAAATACAATTCTGTATTAATATAATTTAAATTAAGCTTCTTTGATAGGGTGCGCGTAGATTTCGGGGTTGCGTAGATTTTGGGGGTGCGTATTTAGTCATGCCCATTAAAATATTCAGATATCAGTTTTTAATTTTGAAGAGATCAAACTTAAATTCAGAATACTGGTCAATAATAGCTAAAAAAATGTTAATAATATATCTTCGCTTTTTGGAGGGTAAAGCCTAAAGAAAATAATAAAATCTTTTATATATTAAAATTTTTTATGACATATTTGGAAGTTAAATAAATTTACCGTGAATTCGTATGTTAAAGTTTCAGTGTCGTCAAGTAGTCGAATAGTACATTTGAAATCTTTATTTGGTATATAACTTTCTCCTTTTGAAGCTAATTTTGAAAACAATTTCATATTGTGATATTTTAGGTTGGGTAAATTACATCATAAATACATATGTTAAAATGATTTTTAAATTTTATTTAATGCTAAACCACGACCATTTGAAATTTTGTCAGCAATAGCAGGGGCGTCGCTAGCCTCCACAATCTCAGGGGGCTCAACTAAAAAAATTTTATGGGGACTTCGCCCCATTATACTTTTTTAAACATTGTTATGAACAATTATTCTGATTTTCACATTTTGTCATTTATTATATTATGCACACAAAATAAAGTGGCATATAAAAAACCACATGATGCAATAATATAATTCTTAGCATCTTACATTGACAAAAGATTATCAAACTAGTATAATTCTCTGTAACCATTTTAGACAATGTTTTATAGAATGGACTAATAAGGAAATTTATAGGCCTAAACCAAATCAACAATTTTTGCAGGAGAGAGTATAAACGAGCAATCCAAATCATAAAACTATATGGTGGTTAGAGCTTCCTCTTAGATGACAATATGGAAGCTAGATAAGTAATCGAGAAAATTATTGTGAGATATCAAATTTCTAAAAGATTATCTTCCATTTTAATGATATATAAACGACTACACATTTGACCATTATTGTTTATCTAAAATATTCAATTATATGCTCTCAGCCGTTATAGTAATAATCTTAAATTACATAGCAACACAAATAATAAATGCTGGTTAATTTGCAGTAATAGCCATGACACTCACGATGTTAACTAATATCAGAATTTATTATGTTGGATAAATTGATAAAATAAAAACACTAATAATCTTTGGAAGAAATAATTATGCAAATATATTGAATTCTGGAGTTATTTACACGGCAATGCCATATTATAAATGAAACATTTTCTAACTATAAAATAAGGACCAGAATGATATGATGAAACAATTAAGATTTTATATATTGTCGTACCACCTTGGTATACTATATCTTAAAATAGTAGTTTGTAATAATATCAAAAATATACTTGTATTAAAAATTTAACTCAAGACTGTTTTTCGAAAAAGAAAAAAATAGCTTTCCTAAAAACACATAAAAAAAGAGAAGAAAGGATATCAAATTTATTACATCTATTGCATGATGAATAATAAAATCTTTAATTTATAAAATTATTTATAACTAAATAGATGGCGCTTAATATTTAAATGCAATTAAATATTTTATTTATTATCAAAACCATTTATTAGTTAAGTTTATTATAATATTAACTGTAATATATTATATAACTGTCAAATACGTCTATAAAAGTGGCATTATATCTAATATTTTATAAACAACTGTATATAGTAGAGGATTATAAACTATATGTCTACTTACTTTTTTATAAAGAAATTTCTTATACTTATTTGGACCTTGAAAATATATTTAAGGTATAATAATAAAATTTCAAAATAAATATACAGTTGATTAGTCATTTTGAACTCGGCTAATTACAATATTAAATTTGTTAATTTTCAAATAATATATGATTATATTTATTTAATTAGGGTTAAATAATAATTTAAATAAAAAGTCAATTAAACTTCAACTGTTAGAGCTAAATTAATATTTAGTGAGTTATTGATATAATATTTTTAATAAGGAATTTGATTGCAAGCTGACATAGTGAAAATATAATTTATATGTATTAATCTAATCTAATAATTAAAATAACATTCATTTAATAAAAATTTAAATAGTCTTATAATTTCTAAATTAAAATTATATCTATATATTACTTAATGGAATTATAAAAGAAATCATTCAGTGGGAAATCAAAAAAATTTATTTTTAGTTCAAGGGGATATTAAGGAGCCATTAAAAAAAAATTTTGTTTCAGGGGGATATTCAAATTTTTCAGGGGGCTCGAGCCCCTGCGCCCCCCCCCCCAGGGACGCCACTGAGCAATAGTAAATATTTAATTTATTCAAATTTATATATTTTTTATTAAAAAGAATTTAAAACAAAGTTTATTTATAAAAAAACGGGTTTCGCTTCTTTCAGGGTGTATAATTTCATATTTTGATTATTTATAGGTTGAGTAAATTATTTCATAAATACATATGTTATGATTTTTAAATTTTATTTAATGCTAAACCGCGACCATTTGAAATTTAGTTAGCAATAGCAAATATTTAATTTATTCAAATTTATAATAAAATGAATTTAAAACAAAGCTTATAAATAAAAAACGGTTGTCGCTTTTTTCAGGGTGTATTTTTATTATTTTTATAATGTAATTTTTTTTAAAATATTAATAAGGTTGGTTGTTTTTATAACTGATTAATATAATCTTTATATATTATATTTTTTAGAAATTTTGCTGTTTTTATTGACATTCTCTTTTTATCTCCTTTAAATTCTAATAAGAATAATTATACTGTTCTCTATGATTTAGCAGCAAACTTTAATAATATAATGTAGCAGCATTCAAATTCCTGTGACCCTGAAATTTTTTTGAATAATTGTAAAAGAATCAAAGGAAATTAATACAAAGAGAGGGAAATATAAATTAAACCAATCACATTAAAAGTTTATTGCCAGAACCTCCTCTCCAATCAACGTTCTTAAATATCCTCGTCAATTATATTCCATCGCTTAAAAATGAGCTTTACAGTACAGTTATGAGCGCCCATCACATAGGCGTAGCCAAGGGGGAAATCCCCCCTCTCAGAAATTCATCACTTTTTGTGAATATCATTTTAAGCTTATAAAAAATAACCCCCTTAGTCCTACCCTAACTCTCTGACCCCCAAACATGTATGCATATATCTTAAACAATAATTTGAAAGAAAGAATGTATAAGTTGATATTTCTTTATAAAACTATTTATCATAAATTATACATTTTTGTAAAAAAGCATTTATATATAAAAAAAGTGAACCAAAAATGTTTTTTAAGAAATAGAATGTAAGCCAAAGATAAGTCTTAAGACAAAAGTGAAGTATTATATTTATTAATAATAGATCCATAGAATTACTAAATAATATAATATATCAAATATAATTTTTTATAAAGTGAGTAATTTTAATTTATTTTTTTTAATAAAACTAAAATATAATTAAACTATTGATAAAATTAAATCATAAATTAAATAAAAAAATTAAAGCACAATACAAACAGTGGAATATTATATGTCGTAGATTTACAGTATATCTAATTTTATCAATTATGATAACAATCAAGTAATTTTTACCAATATAGAAAATTATATATATTTTAGAGATAACTATAAAATATTGATAAGGTCATCAGAAAATATCTTTTAAAGACATTGTGGGATAAATAATATGAAGATTAATTTTAAATATCATTTTTACTTAAAATAAATAGATGACGTTAAATAATTGAATGCAAATTGTTGCTATATTTATTATCAAGAGCATTTAGTAAAATTTGTTAAAATATTAACTGTAATATATTTTCTAACTGTCAAATATATCTGTAAAAGTGGAATTTTGCCTAGTATTTTGTAACTAATTCTATATAATCGAGGAATATCAACTATATGTCTACTTACTTTTTATAAAAAAATTTCTTATACTTGTTGGAATAAACTATTACCATGCTTTTATATTAATGTATATAATTATTTAGATAAACTAAAAATATATTTCTCTATTTATTCCAGGCTTATTATTTTTTTATTAAAATTAACCTCCTATTATGTAAAAATATTTTATGACTATATATAGATTAAGGTAACCCGGCCGAAGGCCCACTAAAAATAGGGTCTGGGGGCTTCGCTCCCAGAAATTTTTTAATTCCCCTCCCCTCCCCCCCCCCCCTTAGGAAAATCCTGGCTACGCCTTTGGTCCAACGGAATTTTTACAAGGAGTTGAATTATATTATACATTTTAAAAAAATCAATTACCTTTATTTTAATTGTATGAATTATAAATTTGGTCAAACAATAATCAAAGTTTTAAATAGGACCAAATTTAAAAACTTTAATTATAATGTAAATGGAAGAAGCGTCAAATATTTAAATAATTTTAACTTCGTGATTTCCCTATCCAATATTCACCATTTCTCATTCATTCTTCCCTCTCTACCATTTTTTTTTAATTCCCTATCATTGCAACCTTTATATCCTCACTCTCATTCGAAGGACAGATCGACTATTTTAAATTACCAGAATCTCTAGATAGTCTTGACAATATATAATTTTAGTACTTTCCAGACACACCCCGACCCATATGCATCCTTTAAAATGACTGGGACGTCCCTATAATTCCTCGTTCCATTGTAATTCACTATCGAACCCGCAATCCGAAGAACTTACCAACCTACAATTTATTTATAATCATAATGGTTATGAATGGCACTAGTCGTTATTTTAAATCAGAATCTGGCACTTTATTCCTCAAGAGGCCTTAAATATTATTTCTTATGAAATCTTATTTACCTTTTATCACTTACACACTAGGTAACTTTAGCATTGCGGCATCATTTTTCCTAAAAACACTAGGAAAAATTTTTTTATATCTGCAAATACCAAGGCTTTGCCTCAATCAGAGAATATCTTGAAATATTTAGATCCACCTATCCATTCACGGATCTATGAATTATATACATTTATAAAACACAACTTTGACTTTATCAATGTCTCTCTTCAAATTGTGATAGACGCTGAACAATGTGTTATACTAATGCGATATCTTAACACTTGTTTTACTGATGCACAATTTCATTTTTATCATGCATGATTTATTTATAGCGAATTAAACAAATTTTCGGAAAGAATAAGAATATATTATTTGCAAATATTAATTAAAAACCCAGTTATTTTTTAAATTAACCATATCTTTCAGGATTTCTTTTTTTCTACACAAGGAAAACATGGTATTATCGAGTAAATAATATGTGTGATCATTTATTGGTCTGATATATTTAATTAGTAACGTGCTAATTATGTTAACGCTTTTATTATTTTTTTTTGAAATAATAGTTAATATGATTTTTTTTTAAAAGTAAAGTTACAA